GTTTGGAATATCACTGTCAGAAATTCATCTGTGGTGGTCCTTGCCATAACCCATTACTAGCAGTAAATGCCGGGAGCGTTGTCGACGAATTTCTTTCAGATGCTTGAAAAATGAGCTAAAGATGGTTTGAGCAGCTGCATGATAGCTGACCTAGCCACTGAATTAACGATTCACAGAAGACTGCTTTTTCATGGCAGCTTCACATTTATAGCTTCATAAAATTAAATAAAATTCTTGAAAAAGAAAGGGAACTTCGAATGGCATTTTGTTGCTAGGCTCAACGTAAGTGTTTTACTGGCAATAGTTTTTGAAAAGTGCATGGTCCGCTTGGCACTACTCATTTGCCACATTCTCGAAGTATAAGTCTCCAGTGCAGTCAGGGTGATATTATCGAATAATAGAATAGAAGATAAGACTAAGCACTATGTGCAAGAAGACATGTTTAGATGCAATACGTGTTTCATCCGTTGGTTGTAAACATAGATCAAGCGAAGAATGGGAGCGGCAGTGGGAATCGTCAGCACAGCCTCTTACCAGCCACGTATATGATGAGAATGTGACAAATAGCGTAAAAATAGAGCAATGAAAAGGCCGGGGGGGGGGGACGACGAAAAAGTGATATAGTTATGAGAGAAAAGGGGAGGATAATTATTTTTAAGCAGTTGGCAATGCCGCTAGGTTTCGGATTTCGTTGTCCTCAAGAAAAATATATTTACTTAGCAAAACCTCAAATTTATTGCATCTCCAGTCATTGTTGAGAAGCAAGGATAGTCCACAGGAACCAGAAGTCTGAGATCCGAAAATAGTCTGAATCCATAATTAATGCGTTACAATTTGCAGTGGAGGCGTCGCACTGTGTCTCAGTTCAGAAGGACGTCGTAACGGCGAAGCATTGGTGAGGTTTGAAGACTTTGAGCAGCGTGAACTGGCCCTCAAGCGACATCGGCACTTCCTCCATAACCGCTATATCGAGGTGTATCGTGCTACCGCCGACGATTTTTTACAGGTTGCTGCAGGTTCGTTCAGCAGTTCGGGCAGTGAGTCTTTTAATTGTTAGTTGACGACGCTTTCTCCACTCAGGGTTCAGTGGACGATAAATAGTAGGTGATCTCTGAGCAGATGGAA